GGCGTTTGATTTCCTCCAGTTAGCTGCATTCTGCTTGTGAAGATGCTGCACACACACACACACACACACACACACACACACACTCACACACAAACTACACGAATGCAGAGGGCGGAGCATTGATGCTGAAACCACTTCTAGACAGCCCAGGGAGGAGAGCAGCCGAGATGGTGATTATGCAACCTGCAGTTACATAAAACTTCGGTCCACTTAAACATGACTCCCTATAGATTAAGCATCACGGTAACAGAGGGCACGCTGGATCGTCTTGCATGCAATGTTTATGAAAAAGGGCTTTGGTGTTCCTCGTGAATCAGTGTTTGGTTACTCAGAGGCTTGAATTCTCGGCTGTACCTAATCACTTTCATCACCAGTGGCAAATGACTCCATGTCAGCGGGATTTGTGTCATTTTTCGTTACGGCTATGCCTGCATATGTAATGTCCTTCTGCACGGCCCGGGGAGAAACACTACACCCGCTAGGCTCCCAATCTGGACATTTACAGGACAAACGGATAAACATGGAGGACTCCCAGCCCCCGATTCCCTGATCTGCTCGCTATTGGATCCCACTGCCTCCGACTGGGGGGGGGGGGGGGGGGGGGGGGCTACCCGGTTTTGGGGGACTGAAAATGGGTCAGGGTTTCCGCTCCGGGACACAGAAAAAAACAACACGGGTGGATGGTTCCCAAAGGAGGGTCCCACTCCTGGTCTGTCTGGGGGAGGAAAACTGCCCCTGGAACAACTCCTGAAGTGGGGGGGCCCTGGGGTGAAACACAGTGGAGGGCCCAGTGGGGAAGGCCATGATTAATACTCAGCCCCCCTGGTGTCCCGTCATGCAGCCACTTGCCCCGTATTTTATCACAGGGCTTTGAAACGATCACGCAGTTTACCCTGTGCACTGTTTGTCCATCCTCGGCAAGGGAATAATACTGTGGAAACACAAACTAAACCTCAATATGTTTATGTTTTAAAGTACTTCCCCATCATTGAATTATCATTGATATGAAATACTTTTTTCAGGCATAGAAAATGTTTTGTGCAGGTTGTTGGAAAAATGCTTAATGAGTAATCAAACTTCCTTAATCGAAGCAATGAGCCGATTACTCAAACTGACTTTCTCAAACGTATGAATGTGTAGTCTGCAACACAAAGACGCACACAGACAGAGTTCAGCGCCTTGCTCCCCCATGCACAACAAACACCAAGAGCCCAAACCCTCCTTCAGCAAACACATCTGCAAATTTTGGCATCCGCTCCCACTTGACCCCCCCCCCCTGTGCCTCTCGGGCTGTCATTTTCCCGTCTTTGTGCCGTGAAGCCCCACAGATCCAGTGAGGACTGATGCTGGCAGGCCGGGAAGCCCATCTGCTCCTCCTCCTCCTCCTCCCAGCAGCTCAGCCACACTGAACTCACAGGAAACTACAGACGTGTAACACCAGCCGAACGATGCTACGCAACATCTGCACACAAATTTGCAGAGCTGTTTGAATGGAGCGAGCTATGTTTTCCATCCATCCATCCATTTTCAAACCGCTTATCCTGCACACAGGGTCGCGGGGGGGCTGGAGTCCATCCCAGCCAACTTCGGGCGATAGACAGGGTACACCCTGGATTGGTCGCCAGCCAATCGCAGGGCAACACAGAGACACACAACCATTCACACTCACATTCACACATCTACGGGCAATTTAAAGTCGCCAATTAACCTGATCCCCAGAGCATGTCTTTGGACTGTGGGAGGAAGCCGGAGAACCCGGAGAGAACCCACGCAGACACGGGGAGAACATGCAGACTCCACACAGAAAGGCCACTGGGCGGAATCGAACCCAGGACCTTCTTGCTGTGAGGCGACAGTGCTAACCACCACGCCACCGTGCCGCCCGCGAGCTATGTTTTGTTTATTGTAAAGTCAAGTAATAGTCGTCATTCCTGAATTATCGGATTTCCACTTCGAACGAGATCGTTTCTTTCACGTTAAACAGCCGAGAGATGAACGTGTTTGGAAGATTGGTGTTGGGTGCATGATTGGCGAGGCTCCCTCCAATAGATGTGCAAGACACACTTTTCAGTGAAAATCCTGAGCCTGTCATGAAAGTGAAACCTTCTAAAACGAGCCATTTGTTAACCCTTTCCGTAAATCCGTAATTCTGCAGACTTCGGCTGAGGGAGTTACACTCATGTGACATCAAACACGTGGACGCAATGGAAGAGAAGCATAAATGGTAAAGAAGGAGGATGGCAGATGGGTGAATATTACACTAAAACATTCGGGATTAAAGAAGGAACATGAAAACATGAAATCAGAGGGATTATATGACAGATTTACACATTTCATTTTGATAAGAAAGCTGTTTTGACGATAAAAACAAATGTAGATGAAGTAGAAAATTAAATATAAAACATCCATAGTTATGTTAAATGACCTTTAATTTGAAGTTTTTGAAACAAATCCATACACCCATCGCCAAAAGCTAGATAAACCAGGACTTAAGCTAACTTAAGTTGATCGGTTCAAAATAAAACAGCTCGCTGAGCAAACTCAAATCAAATCTCTGTGTTTTATTTTATATGATGAGCAGATTGGCTCCAGGTGGGTGGCGTTCCACACCTGCTCCAATTACCCGCTCCAATATTACAGTGGGCGGAGCCAGCTGTGGTGAATCCTCCAGTCCCCCCCCCACCCTCAGCACCTTGCACAATAAAATATCTCTTCTGTAGTTCATTCTTTTAAGATTCTTCGAATGACTGATTTCATTGTTAACGTTAAATTGTGATTATTACAACAAAAGATCGAATTGATTTCTCACTACTTTATTCAACATGCGATTAAGCATCCGTCTAAAAATGACTAAACGCGTGGGTTTCACGTGAAAATTTAAACCACTTTGAAGAACCCAAAAGGTTGTATCTCCCACATTGTTGACCACTGAGGCGTCTGTCCCCAAAGGCGCCTTGTCCCTTATCTATGACAGATGTATCCTTCCGATACTTCCCAACCCGCACCCTGGGTAAGTGCACCAGTGACCTTTGAGAAGCGAAGAATCAATGTCTGAGGGCCGACGCGAGTAATCGCGCGTCCTCTCAGACTGTGAAACCGCGCGGCCCCGTTAGTGACTCTGCTGCTGTAAAGTGTGAGACTGAATGAGGCCGTCCGTAACCCTCCGATCAGTCCGGCCGTCTCTGCACAGAAACATCCCACTGCGGTGCCTTCAACAAAAATATGGATCACTGGCCCAAATCACAACATGAAATGACAGCAATGTGGCAACGGTAAAAATAGATCTAACTCCAGGCCCCGTGGCTGCAAATACTTTCAGCCCAGCTTCACTGTGAGTGAACAAACGGCGATCTGCTCCTCCTGTCGTCAGAATAGCGCCGAGCTAAATATAGTCCAAAATCAAATAGTCTGAGTTGGGTCGATTGAAGCTGAATTCAGTCCAAGCATCGACATTTACATAACGCCTGGCAGCTTCATTGGAAAGCTAAATGAAATCACTGAGCAGGGGCAGCAAAGATGAGGAGATATCACTTAAAACCTGCTTTTTAATGCTAGACTGGATCGGGAAGCGGGGCAACACCACGCGAGGTGCTTTAACTTCTATGAAACATAAATGCACTCTGGTGATTAATTGGGTTCCAAGATAAAGTAACATGTTATTTAAGAGTGTCAGGGGAGAATTTGTTGAGGTGCATGTTGTGAGAGTCTCAAGAACTTGTATGTGACCTTTCTTGGGAAACTCGTGACCTGACCTAGTCTACGATGAAATCCATATGTGGCTTGGACAGACCATATCATGTTCTTCTATTTACCTTTCTCCTCTGTTTTCCTGTCTGTCAACATGGGCTAAACCCACAAATTTCCACCACAAAGAGCAGGTGAATTTGTTCTGTTACTATCACAACCTCAATGTAAAATGTTTCCCATATTCTGCCGGTCTTTCGAAAGGGCAACTGTGGATGCAATCTTTGACTGCCATGTGGTCTTTTAATCCGCGGACGTCTTTTAAACGTGAGCTTCTCTCTTTGCGCAGTGAAAGTGACGAGCCCGTAACACACTGGGCTCGGAGGGTCGTCCCGCGACCGCCTGCCATTACGGCCTTCATGCACCAGTTGTTTTTGCTAATAACACTCACCGAAGAGGCTGCGTGTGCCGACTTCACCGGCACGTACCAGCAGAATAGGAACAGCTGGCTGCGGTGGACTGCTCCCAATCAATTCCTGCAGGAGAGAGTTTGCTTTCAGAGCTTCTGCTCTCATGATACGTGCCTCCTTTCCTGTCTGACCTACAGGTGTCAGAGGTCACGGTACGAATTGTAGGACATCAAAGACACTATATGCCGATGTTTGTGGATATCAGGGCTTGAACCATGGGAAATTATAGAGAGATTTGTTTTCAGTTGCCATGGAAGCGATGATTACAGTTTCCTTTAATGAAGTTTAAAATACACGAGACTGGTTAGATGCGATGGTGGAGACAGACATTTTATTTCACTGTCATTGTATTTCATTGTGGAATATGTGTCTATCTCTGAATGGATGCACGGTTGTGTGTGCCTCTATGTTCTCCTCAAGACAGATTTTAGGGGATGGAAGATACTCAAAAGTGGACGAGGTTAAAATAGTTTGTTGGAATTGTTTTTTTTGACCTAAATGCTATATATAACAAATCAGACAGCAACATTTCCTAAATCCAGGAGGCAAAGGGTGGGTCAATACACTAAAACCAAGAGGAAACAACCCTTATATTTAACACTTTTCTAAAAAAGATAGAGACACACACACACACACAAAAGAAATATATATATATATTATATTTCGAGTCGTGGAAAATGTGCAGCTCATTGTCTAAAACCCAAAGACGCATTGGAAGAAACTACAATTCCCAGTACCGCCTCGGAGTGAACTGCCCCCCGATGATTGGCCGACATTGGCGTGACGACACTAATTTTGGGCCATTTATTTGCGCGCCGGTGCCGCTGACTGACACAGGACTTGCGGTGCATTCTGTGAGAGAGGATCACTTCATCCAGTTTATCCAGCAAGGTGGGTGTGACGCACGTCTTTGCAACAGAACCACTGCTCGAGCGATTTTTTTTTTCATTTCTGTAAGTTAAAATGTAGATTCTTGCCTTTAAAAAAAAAAAAAAAAAAAAAATTAAGTTTTCCTAGCCCTTTTTTTTTGTTGTGTTGCTTTTGTTGGTGTAGCACGTGCGATGTCGTAACGCGGGATGGTATTTGTCTTCGCCCTCGCGACGCTGGTTCTCTGCGGGGGGGTCCGGTCGGGTCGGTTGCTTATCCTTTTGTATGGTGGCACACTGGCACCGTTGGCACCGACGAACACCAGACTGAAGGTGCTTGTTTAAGGCAAGGGGGGTGGGGGGGGGTCTCGCTATAGCGGTGAGAACGAGCTCGGTACCCGGGGATCTAATTAAGCTCTCCTTACAATTCAGCCGCTGAACGCTCATTTTAAATGTAGTCTTATTGGATATTTCCGTGAACACGATCTCTTCCTCCGCGTGTCTTTTGTGCAGCTGCTCACAGAAAGCTCCTTTGTCTGCTGCAGCTTGTGATCGAGCAAACCGCTGCTCGCCGAAAACCTGAATCCAAATTAAGGTGTGACTGGTTATTGTCCGAAGGGGGGGGGAAGAGACAATCAGCAGTCTGGGGAAATTAAAAAAAAAAAAAAAAAAAGACAACCGACAATGTTGTCGTTTCGACCGCGTGTCGGCAGTCACCGAACCGTCGAAATGTATCTAGATTGGATAAGAACGTTACACAAAGGTTTAAAAAACAACAACTTTGACAGGCAGCTTTTATGCTCAATCATGGGAGGGGTCCTTCACCCAACCACAATTGCCCCCCCCCCAAACACTGACACGCACACATCTGACCAATTAACATGACTACACGTTTCATCACATTTAAATCTGTTAAGATTTCTCCTGTTTCTGACCTTGTTTGTGCACAATGAGTTTATCTATCAGAGCTGTTGTTGCAGTACTTGTGTGTCTCACCCCCTTGTTCGAACACATGGTGCAAGGAACAGGTGCTCCCTAGGGCTTCATCCCCCCCCCCCACACTGCTCACTAAATCTCCCTTTTCAGAAAGGGCATAATCGTATGTCCCTTTTTTTTACCTGAATACCAACTGCAGGCTTGTCATCAAATGGGACTGCCCGCAGTGCCAACCTCATCTCAGCCTTTTGTTTCAGCGAAAAACCCTTTGCGTGGCATTGAATGGCTTTCACACCCTTCTCTTCTGTGTCGGGACGCTGGTCTGAATTCTCGCAATCTGTTTGAATGTAATTCTTGTCACACGTCCGGAAGATAAACAAATAGGTGAGAGTGCACTTTCGCTTTTTTGTTTGATGGCGGTGGGTACTTCAGGGCTGCAGACGGCCGCTGGGTGGTGCCGTTGCGCTTTGTTTTGATGGTCGTTGCAATGGAAATGTTTAAAAAATAAACCAAGCATCCGCTAGAGGTCGTCGCTGGACGCTTGCTAATCTTGTATTTTTCCTTTTTCAGGTGAAATTGTGCACTCAAAATGGCAACCTCAGAGGGTGAGTTCTATCAAATTGAGATTTTACTGTGACGTGTATGTTAACCATGGCTCATTGTGGCTCAACGTATTATGCATTTTATGTGGGTGTTCAGAAATCCTAGTCAAGGAGCTCGACAAGAGGGCCTCAGGCCAAGCCTTTGAGGTCATCCTGGCTGCTCCTGCCCCGGATGCAAAGCCCGAATTCCCCCTGACCCCTCCCAAGAAGAAGGATGTGTCGCTCGAGGAAATTCAGAGGAAACTGGACGCTGCAGAGGAGAGACGCAAGGTGGGAGTGTGTTGCCATGAATCGTAGAAACTGAAGCGTGCATGATTTTATTTTTAATTTTTATTTAAACTTCTCTCTCCGATCGCTTTTCAGAACCATGAAGCCGAGGTTCTGAGGCACTTAGCTGAGAAGCGCGAGCATGAAAAGGAAGTGCTACAGAAAGCTATGGAGGAAAACAACAACTTCAGCAAGATGGCAGAGGAGAAGCTCAATCAGAAGATGGAGGCCAACAAAGAGAACCGCACAGCACTAATGGCAGCAATGAATGAGAAATTCAAGGAGAAGGTCTGTGTTTATCCAAATTTACAAAACTGCATACTTTTCACCAGGCTTTTGGGAATTTACTTTTACTCCTGTTTTATAGGACAAGAAGTTGGAAGAGGTGCGAAAGAACAAGGAAACCAAAGAGGGATCTGAGGACTGAAAGCTGAGAAATGGGGCATTGTACAGGGTTTTTTACGTATCCAAAGATTGATTTATTTTTTGTTTGGCCAGTATTTTTGTTGTGTTCACTACCCACCTTTTTGAAATAAATCCAAGCTCTACTCTGTGAATTTTTTCAATTATCCTGCTATAAGTGTACTTGCGCTGGTTTTACATGTGGATCATTTCCCCCACTCGTTGAGTCTGTTAAATTTGATATTAGCTTGTCAGTGCAGCTTCTGCCATTTTGGAAAATTAGCATTGTGTACTTTTTTTTTTCTTTTTGAAGCATGTTTCTATGCATAGTCTTTAACCCCTGCATACGTAGTGCGTTTTGGAAAAAAAAATGTTCCCGTGAACCACACCTGTTCTCGGCACTTACTGTATATTAAAATAAAAGTAGCACAAGTTTTGACCAAGGCGTCGGCTGTTACAAATGCAGGTGTTTTGTGCCGCTTTGCTACCCCAGATTCTGCTAGTTGGCTCCTGCAGACGAGTTATTTTGCCACTGATTCTTTGCTTTTGTAAAACCATGGCGGTAGTCTTCAACACGCATAGCTTCTTGCTGTATAGGTGTGGCTCGACGTGCCAGAAACGGATGCCACCGCGAACGTCTGAACAACGGTCTACACGCGGAACGCAAACGAGCAATACACTTTGGCATCGCCTCCGACACAGTGGCTAGTTGACCTGAACTGTTGTACTAAAACCAATAAAAACGTGAACGCACTGTCCGGCTTGCTGTCGTCTTGTTCTACAAGCTTCAAAGTGATTCGCTGATCCTACTTGAGGTGTGAAGTTCCTTCATTGTTTAGAACAGAGTGTAATGGAGTCTGTTTCAGGTCACGGCTTTTACCCGTCCAGCTGCCTCCCTGTAGCGCAACGCCATCACATCAGTTAGAACTCTTAAAGCTACAGCATGGAAACTTATGTAAGCCCACTTGTTTACATGTTGATCAGTGCAAAAACTGTCCCACTTTGACCAGTCGACCATGTAAAACTGTTGAATAAAGGGGGGGGAAACGAGTGAATGGTGACTGTTCTACTGCAAACTACGGGCTTTGTTTCCCTCTGCTGGTGGTTTGATTAAATGGCCGAATCTAAAGCGCCGGTTTAAAGTACATTTGCACTATTTGGGAATAATGCATCTTTTGTAGCTTAAATATGTTACACCATCCACTACTCTGAGTAGAGTTTGGGTGGGACCAATTCAAACCATTTATTTGGATAAACGAGCCCCCCCCCCCTCCGTGCTTAACTAAACATGAAAGATGCTCCTCTCATTGTCATGCAAAAGTATTCAAAAAATGAATATACTCTATCAAATATAATGCGTTACTTTTCATGCATTAGTGTGTTAGACGAAGTTGAGGTGGATCGCTAATCGTGCTCACGTCACACCTCTAAGATCTGTTTTCATATCTGGGCAGTTTGAATTCTTGTGTTCTTTAGTAATGTGTTTAACAGACCAGCAGAGGGCAACGTTGTCTTACTCCTCACTGTTGCTTTCCAGGTATCGATCAGACCAGCCAATGAGGACATGTTTAAAATCTTTGATCAAATTACCTTTGTAGTAATGAGTGACTATGGATTTTTGGATATTGATTTATGTTGAATTGTAAACATGCTGAGTGTGGGCAGACAAACTATTCACACCTTTTAGTTTAGCAGAATCACAATGATGGAATGAAACTGAATTAGACATAAAAACCTTTATACTTTAAGTACTTGTATGCAGACGGCCCAAAAGTACAGACTGTATATACTAGTAAAACACAAGCACACTTATTGTTACAGCAGGAGCAAAGTCATCTCAGTGTGGATGACAGTGACCCACCAACATCTCCGCTCTCAGAACCGGGCCTCTGCACGGAAACTAATATTTATACCTGTGAATTAAATGTGGGACAGCGAAATGTAAAACGTTTCCCTCTGAGCTGTGGCGAATTAAAATTGTGGAAATACTCAAATTCAAGTTCTTTAAACCGTGCTTGAGGACATAACTCGACTAAACGTGTCACTCGGCTCCAACGCGACACCAGTCGGGGAGGTTCTGACTGAGCTTTCCTATTAACTTTAAAAATACCATTTGAATCCTGCAGAATTCCTGTCAAACCTTTTGAGCCCGTACGAGAGCCCTTCACCCAAAGTACCTGGCTGAACACACGCGGCGTGTCGTGCAGGCGGCAATCAGGGTATCAACGTGAAGCCTGGCAAACCTGCGCCGACGGAAATAAACCCAGTGACTAAAAGAAACACCGCGGCTGCTGTCGCTGGTTCTTTCTCGGGGCGCTCGTTCTGAACGCCTGATTGGTTCGGCTGTTCTCGCGCCGAAGAGAATAATTAAGGAGAAAGCTGTTGAAACCCGACGGTGGCAGGCGGAGAGTCTGGGGGGGGGTAATGTGCGGGTTAAAAAAGCGAAACGCGCCGCCAACGTCTCCACCTGTGGAGTCAAAGTAGGAAGCAGAAAACAGAGGCAAATGACCCGTGATGACCTCGTGTGATTTTGGCTTTGTTACAGCAGCACGGGGCGACTTTCTCCGAGACAGCCTGATGATGCCCGGTGAGCACAGGAGCACTGCCGCGCTGTTGTTATCCACAACACACGGTGTTGGCTCCACAAAGTTTGACATATAACTTGCTTTAATTGGCACAACAACAACAACAACAGCAACAACAGGCCCAACCCCGTTGAATGATTTAGCTCAGCTGAGCTCGGTGTGGACGCTCATTACCGCTCATGGCCCGCTAAAGCACAGCGTGCCGATCGCTAATCACATGGATCCACTGCAATCAATTCTTGTTTTACTTTCCTCTGGTGATCTAGACAGGAAATACAGAGCAATTCACTCACGTACTCGATGTGTCCTTAACTTAACGACGCACTGATTACTGCGCCTCATGTGGCTGGTGGCCTCCAGTATTGGTTCGTTAGTACATTTGCAACCTTTTGTTTTTTTACAGGTGATCATTTTGTTCCCATGTCAACCAGCCGGCTTTAAGGCTTTAGTACAATTATTCCAATGACATCGGTGTGAATTTATTATGTTTTGATTCAGTATCTTAAGGAAATCCAACTTCATTATGATTTCTCTGCCACATCCAATCCGATTTTAATTTGTGTTTTTCGTTTGTGATACATTTAAAGAGAACAACAAAGAAGAAAGGCATGCTGGACTTTATCTCCTCTGGTAAACTTAATGCTGAATGAGTTGAGTCTATCCTGACATCATCTTAATGAAAATGTCGGTGGGGAGGCAACAAATAGGGCCACGCTAAGGCTTCGGGGAGCAGAGACGGTGAGCAGATAGGTGGAGGGGAGCGGGGGGGGTGAAACCAAGCAAAGACAGGCGGGGGGTCAGAGGAAGCGGCGTCGAAGGCACATTAAGGCCGCCGCATGCTTCTGCGTCGTTGCGTCGACGCACTCGTTTCACTTCATGGTTCTGCGTGTGCTGCAGAGCGATTCACCGCCAGAACAACAGGCGGAGTGACGTGTTTTGTTGAAGACGACCTAGAAAGTCACGTCTATTTATTTATTTGTTTATTTATTTATCATAGACTTTATTGCCCCGTGCGTCACCACTGCTGCTTTTCATCGCGGACACATTTGTCCCGTATTTTCCTCCACAACTTTGCGCACCTCTCGACCGGCAAACCGGCGTTTGCGGCGATCTCCCTCCGTGAATCCAACCCGCTTCTACAACCCGCCAATGGCGGCTTGCACAAGCGGTCATGTTTACGCATTTCTTCCGACAAAAATCTGCTCCGTTCTCTCGTAAACATTCTGCGTTTTAATAATGGCGGCATCGGGCTATGAAAGCGGAAATGTGAGACTCCGCGAAGGACGTAGTTAGCGGACCAATCGCGGCCTGGTGCGCTGCGGGAGGCTTGCGTTGCTAGCGTCGCTTTCGACGCAAGCCTAGAAAAGTGGCTCGACACCCGCAAAGACGCAAGGAGGTGTGAAAAGCGGCGCAAGGGACACGCAAGGGGGGGTCTTGCCTCTGCGTCGCTCTGAAAACGCAGAAGCATAAACTAGGCTTTGAGGCCGAGCAACGCAGATGAGCAAAGACGATGAGTGCGAGCGAGATAAAGGCGGGATGGGGGAGGAACGGTGGGAATACTCACGCGCGGGCTGACTGCCTGTGAATGTAGCCCAGAATGTAGCACACGTACCGGTGATGTTGGGTTGCTCAGCCATATGAGCCGGGTCTTGACCCACGTCGGGGTTCCTGAGGCCGATTTCATGCTAAAATCCAACTTCTGGAAATGTGTTGTTTCCCTACAGAGTTTACGTTGTTGCACATCCGGCGGCATCAACGTAGCCTTGTGAAGGATGCTGTAGCAGACACTAATAGCATTAAATATATTTTCTTTTTACCAGAGGTATCTGTACAGATCCCACGGCCACATTAAGCCGCCAGAAGGATCCGGGTGGTAACTTCGTCTCTGTCCTACACTAAACGGCAGCGACGTTGGGAGCCGATCGTTTGCGCGTCCGTCATAGTTGACATCTGGACGAGACGTGACTGCGGTGAACTCCTGCTCTGCGTCTCAGCCTGGCAACCGGGCTCCAAAGATGGCTGCGTGTTGGATACGACCCGGAAGACTCTGGTCTTTCCGCCGGGAGGCCGGTGGTCGAGTCTCCAAGAATAGTTATCATCTTGAAGTGAGGTTTGCGAGGTGTTGTCGGTGCTTATGTTACGTTGTGTGCGTTTTGCTCAGTTTGCGAGGTGTGTTGTGACGGCTAGCAGCGAGACAAAGCATCGGTGATGAGTTAGGCAGAGAACATGTTGGAGTATAAGACAAGCCTTTGTCACGTGGTCTAATGAAATGACTCCAAGAGCTCATTTGTGCCTTTTGTTGTGTTTTCCTCTCCAGGCAGGGTGCTAAATGGAAGAGTGTGTCTTTGCGATAAGTGTGTGTTTGCCTGTCGAGGTCAGTCTAAAAAAGAGAGAATGTCTGCAGCAGGGACTCATTGTGTATTTTGGGGAAGATGTGCACAACCTTATCAAGGAATAGGGTTGTTACATTAACTTCAGCTTTAAACAAGAAAAAACAATGTCAAGCTTACCCAAGTTTATGCCTAGATTAATGCCACTATAATCTGTCTACAATTATTGTGGAGAGCGCTCTCTTCTTCAGTGGTCATTAATTAAAATATAAAATGTTGACTGCAACGATGTATGCTAATATGCTAGTTAATCCTATGTGTTATCCTGTATAGTGTGGCATATTAATATGCTTTAATTACATTTTGAAATGTGTTGAGTAGTGAAAAGCCTGCAAATACAATTGGTATTACATCCACATACTGCATTGGGAAAAGTATCACAATAAAACAAATAACAATATAAAAACCCCGGACAGTTGTGCCATTTAATATTTGAATATTTGAATATTCGCATATTTCTGTTATCACTCAATTTAATTGATTTAACTTTCTGAAGAATATGGTATCGATGCTTTGTGATAAATAATTCTGCAGTGCTATTAATGTTGACTGCATAAAATGTTTGTTCACACAAATGGAATCTATTTTGGCTTTGGTTGTTGTTTTGTTTGTTTTTTGGTCTCCCCTCATTTGAAATGGTAAAAAAAACATTTAGACATCGTGGTCATTTTATCAAAGGATTCTGTAGCTAAATGGTTATAATTTAAAGTTTATGTACCAACTATTTTTAACTGTTACATGTTAAAGTTGAACACGGTTTAAGCCATTTATAAAGGAAA